AAAAAAATTCAAGTAATATAATTATTCCACATATCCGAATATGTCTGTGTGAAGTAAAATACATATCCAACACGTTTTATAATATTTTCGTGGTTGTGGTATGAAATATCCATTTGAAAAAAAGCAATTTAATAATGATGTATCGTGTGGATCAGTGGACGTTATTATTGGACTAATATTATTATTGATACACAGGGAATCTGGACAGTTGTTCTTCTATAAATAAATCATCATGATAAAAGTATAGTTTATGATAGCATCCATTTGTTACCGTTCTTAATCCAAATGATACATATTGGCATCCGTTTAATACATACATGATTACGTTTACGAAATGTTGTTCAAATATCTTCTCTATTACAGGAATGTTGTAACTGAAACTTTCCTATATTGTCATACTATATATATTGAATATGTATGCAATATTTCAAATCTCAATGTTAAGTAGGAACTCTGAAATCACTTACCTTGATTTGCTGTTATATTTTTGCAATGACCCCATTCCCTATAATGTACGCGAGCACCTACGATACATTACATGTACATGACCGCATTACATATTTCTCGCCGCAGTACCACAGTGTTTGGGAGAGACTTGCCTAGCCTGCTATAACAAACTTACCAGTGGTTGCCCACCGAATTTTTGAGATAAATAAACATGATGACACTAACCCCCTCTATCGTCAAATTTCTCAGAAAGTTCTGGTAAAATCACCAAGATCAAAATCACTCCGCCGCCAGCTTAAAATGAGATTTCCCACTGAACTTTGTCATGTTTTCAGATAAATTAGGACCTACCTTATAAATATTGAGTCCCGATTGACTTCCCAAACGCCAGATGGTGCTCCAATTGGGTAGGGGAAGAGAAAAATGACTTTTTATACAGAAAACCAAATTACTAACGGTAACCGCTAGTATCCTTACGCAGGACTATACTAATTATTTTGTTCATAACACATACCTGACGTGTCAATAATTCGATCTGCAAAGGTTTTTTTTTTGAAAACGCATATCATAAAACTGGATCAAGATATTTTTGACGGCAAAAAACTATCAGTCAAGTTACTATCTTAACACCGAATGGGAACTTCATCCAATAACATTCAACATTAGTAATTTACTTGCTGAATGCTTTGAGTCCATTCTTTTCATTTTATCCAAATTAATTCTGACATCAGATACAATATAGATATATAACTATTAGTTAATATCTTGTTAGCGAATTTCAATGAGAAAACTTGTTTTCAATTCATTGAAAGAAATATATTTTTAATGAAAAGAATGTTGTATACATATATACAGGGTGGGCCAAAATATGTTACTGATTTGAAAGTGTAATAGTACCTTATTCATTATTGGCATGATTGGTCTCAAACTTTCAGAGATGACTAAGAATTTATGCAAGTTTTATTCAATATTAGTGGTTTTTATTTACGTCTCTACGTTTTTGGTGGCTGCCAAACAAATCATCATGTCCATTTTAGAGAAGTGCGTGTATGAAAAACTTTCACTTACTTTCACATATTTGAACAACCAGAACACGAGATTCTTGGCTGCTTATAATCCTACACAGACACAAGATAGGCCATTTATAGTGTTTAGAAAGTAACAGTTTGGTGTGCTACACAATTTCTGGTTCGAGGATGCCAAAGGGAACCCTGTGAGGGTGAATTCCGAAAGATACTAGAACTTGATCATACGAAAGTTCTTCTCACCTACACTAAGATGTAACATTAGCAAATAGCAAATTTAATAGGTGAGGTAAAATTCCAGCACAATTGAATTGTCACAGATTCAACAGGTCAAAATATTTTTTGTACTTTGGTGATCCTCATAGCTGGCTACAATTCAGAACTTGCATAAAATGTTGATGCTACAACTATATCATTACAAAATCAGGGTCAATGATTTCTTGAACTACAGTTTATGAGCAGCTATGCACCTCATACACCTGTAATATCCTTTCAATACAATTTTGAGTATATTGTGGTTATAAACATGGGAACTGAGCGCGTGTGTGTTAAAGCCTACTTGCTAGGATATCTCATTATCAACATGCGAAATTTTGATAGTTGATCTCTAAAATGCTCTTAGTATAAGATAAATTAACTGATTAACTATGATAAGACTAAATTATAATGTGGACCAATAGCGGTTTAATCGCTGAACCAATGCAAAGAGAGCAATTTGAGAAGTTATTGGATAAATAACAATGAGTAGAAAAAATGAAGGCTTTAACCATTTAGAATTTATCATTTGTACAAGTTCAAATACTATATCTAGTATATGATCAGTGAAAGTAATGTACATGTAGGTCTCATGGTCTGAAGGTTAAAATGCTACAGAAAAAATTGAATTTCGTACTCTGTATTTTTGGACTATTGCAGAATTGTTACAGTCAGTCATATCAGAGAACTGCTGTACTTGTACGTTCAGAGACTATACCAGGCGAGAACTTGTTTATTCGTGGAGGTAAGAGGTGGAGATATGGCTTTTAAATCAAATATCAGATGATAAGTGTGCTGTCATTATTTCCGATATTTTTTAGATTTTTATGTCACCACCAAAAGTGGTGACATATTGTTATGGTCTCCGTTTTTTTGCGACGGCGGTTGGCGTCCGGCGGTTGGAGGTTGGCGTCCGGCGGTTGGCGTCTGTAACAATTTCTTACAACTTCCTATAACTTAACAAATACTGTTTAGACTGACTTCAATTTTTTTCTAAATCATCTACATGTTCTCAGAAGTTCAAATCTGACTTTAGATTTGACATTCGACCTTCAATGACCTTCTCAAGGTCAAAAAGGTCTTTTTTCAACTTGCTTCACATTGACTAGATTTTTTTTCAAAATCATCTACATGTTCTCAGAAATTCAAATCTGACTTTAGATTTGACATTTGACCTTCAAATCTGACTTTAGATTTGACATTTGACCTTCAATGACCTTCTCAAGGTCAAAAAAGGTCAAAAAGGTCTGTTTTCAACTTGCTTCAAATTGACTAAATTTTTTTTTCAAAATCATCTACGTGTTCTCAGAAATTCAAATCTGACTTAAGATTTGACTTAAGATCTGACATTTGACCTTCAATGACCTTCTCAAGGTCAAAAAAGGTCAAAAAGGTCTGTTTTCAACTTGTTTCAAATTGACTAAAAAAAATTTTCAAAATCATCTACGTGTTCTCAGAAATTCAAATCTGACTTTAGATTTGACTTAAGATTTGATCTTCAATGACCTTCTCAAAGTCAAAAAAGGTCAAAAAGGTCTTTTTTCAACTTGCTTCAAATTGACTAAATTTTTTTTTCAAAATCATCTACGTGTTCTCAGAAATTCAAATCTGACTTTAGATTTGACATTTGACCTTCAATGACCTTCTCAATGTCAAAAAAGGTCAAAAAGGTATTTTTTCATCTTGCTTCAAATTGACTAAATTTTTTTTTCAAAATCATCTACATGTTCTCAGAAATACAAATATGACTTTAGTTTTGACTTTAGATTTGACATTTGACCTTCAATGACCTTCTCAGGGTCAAAAAGGTCTTTTTTCAACTTGCTTCAAATTGACTAATTTTTTTTTTCAAAATCATCTACATGTTCTCAGAAATTCAAATCTGACTTTAGATTTGACATTTGACCTTTTATGACCTTCTCAAGGTCAAAAAAGGTCAAAAAGGTCTGTTTTCAACTTGCTTCAAATTGACTAAAAATTTTTTTCAAAATCATCTAAGTGTTCTCAGAAATTCAAATCTGACTTTAGATTTGACTTAAGATTTGACATTTGACCTTCAATGACCTTCTCAAGGTCAAAAAAGGTCTTTTTTTCAACTTGCTTCAAATTGACTAATTTTTTTTTTCAAAATCATCTACATGTTCTCAGAAATTCAAATCTGACTTTAGATTTGACATTTGACCTTTAATGACCTTCTCAAGGTCAAAAAAGGTCTGTTTTCAACTTGCTTCAAATTGACCAAATTTTTTTTTCAAAATCACCTACATCTTTTCAGAAGTTCAAATCTGACTTTAGATTTGACCTTTGACCTTCAATGACCTTCTCAAGGTCAAAAAGGTCTTTTTTCAACTTGCTTCAAATTGACTAATTTTTTTTTCAAAATCATCTACATGTTCTCAGAAGTTCTTCTTAAGGTCAAAAGGTATTATCCAACTTGCTTTAAATTGACCAAATTGTTTTAGGTGGTGACATTTTGTCATGTTAATGCCTTGTTAAAAAATATGTTTTCATGAACCAACCTTAAAAATCATTTAAAATACAGGTATTAGTCATGACATAAGGCCCGGGTGTGTCGAGAATGCTGAGCTGAGCGCATGCGCAATACCCATCCGACACAGAAGAGTTCCAATTGCTGGCGAATCGAGCGCCCCCTATGTTTGGTCTCAAGGAGACAACTATCTAGATTGGTATGGTGCGGAGAATTATCAGGGACGATTCCAAGGACAAATTGCGGCTGGAACTCCTATGATTTGGACCACCGACAGGTAGACGATCTTGAGATCAACTGTGATTTGAAATATATTTATTCCAACCATGGATTACAAGAAACTTACTCTTTTTAGTAATTCTCAAGATGGCCCTTAAATTAAAAAAGTGAGATTTTCTCAAAAGGAGACTGCCTATTTTACGAGTGATTTGATAAGATATTTGTTCGGTGGGATCTGTTGTTACTAAACTAAGAGTTTGTCTTTTTCAAATTAAACGTGGATTTGCTGATTTTATGGGTTATTTGTATACGAGCATATTTAAACCAGTTCTTCAGGTCCTATCGTGGACATCGATGGCTATGGCTATACCGGGTTGAATGTCTATGGAAATCACTATTGGATGCTTGATGTTGACATGGACTGTGCCAAAACTGAAGGAAATTGGTTTGAGTTCAAGGTTTGTCACATTTTTATGTCTTAGATTATATCTAGCTGATCTGTCATTTTAGAATCATAACGTCAAATGGTGCATTGGATTCAAGTTTGAATTTGTCAAGTTTTCTGTGTATAGATTGAAGATCTACCATAACCTCTATCCACATTGAACAAAATTTTAATAGCCTGATTTGTTGCCAAAATCGAATTTGAACAACTCTATCAAATGCAGGTGTACACAGATCCTACATCTGGTTGGGAGCCGGACATCACTCAGAGCATGGCATGTGGCGGAGAAGCTGGTGGAACTAGACCCTTTGCATCCACTAATCACGTGGCTCAATGTGGCAAATTCAATATGTTTTACTACGATAATTACGGTTGCATTATCGGTGAAATACCAACCAGTACCCCAACTCCTCTTCCACCAGACAGTACGTATTTTTATTGTTCCCATTTGCATTCAGAGGTGTCGCATTGGTGTCGTTGGAGTGTTTGCATTTAGGGAGGCCACAGTACCAGCATTCACAATATCTAATTTTTAAAAGAAATGTTGTATGATTCAAATTTTTAGGTGTGTTCCCCATTAAAGGAAATATTTGAAAGAATCGGTACTTGGTTTCCCAATTAATCAATAAACTGCTAAAATGAGTCCAGTGCTCCAGTTCAATCACAAAAAAAACACGAAGCGCTGCTCTGTTAAATTCACCTCAGAACTAATTCTTTGCCTTGAATGGTTGTTAATATTATCATTTACTATGCCAGATATGTGTGGTACTCAGAAGTAGTTACAGAAACGAGAGTTCTGACGCACCTATAACATTGAGTCCTATGGGGAGGGACACGATTTTTCATAGTACCCTCCCTAACATGGGCTCCAATGGGGAGGGACATCTCAGAGCCTCCCTGAGCTCGGGAGGCACATACGGGGACCCCACCCCTCCCCCCTCGGCGTGGTGGCGTGTACATATTTCGGGGATCTCGGGCCCTAAGGTAACGGACGCCCTACCCCACGTTTGTACGTTTACTGTAAGGGATACTATTCGAATTCCCGCCAAAAACAATAAATCGATAAACCAGTACGCGCCGTAAATGTCACCACCTTATTTATAAAGTGCGGCCCCAGGCGGATTATCGATTACCTATCAACCAGGCGTTTCGTACTCGCGAGGTCTTATCGTTTTAAGGTCATCCAGCTGTCAGTTTACGAATTACTCTGGACTGTACTTTAAAGTGCGGACCTAGCTCGATTATCGATTATCAATCAACCATCCATCAACTTTAATTAGTGTAACGTCCTTCATCGATTTAAGATCATACCGTTTAATGGATGTTACATTTGGTTGCCTCGCACCTTAGTATTTAAGAAGAAACATTACTAGTTAATTTAGTTATGAGTTTGAAACAGACGTACGCACATCTTTCGAGCGAGGATTCCTTAATTTATTACGCGGATAACACTCAAAGTAAATTTACCAGCAAGTTACCCAATTACCAAACATTTAAAAAAATAGAAAACTGAACTTGCGGTTTAACTGAAATTTGTCTAGGTAAACGTGTAAATAAAGGCTTAATATACGTATATTGTAATATAATAGGTGAATCATTAGTAGGACCAACTTCGAGGACGATCCTACGTACTATATCGACATCTAAGACATACTGTGAATTTAAAAATATATATTACGTGGATTTAGGACTAAATAATTTTAACGAGATTAGTATTGCTTTGACTTATCAGGACGGTTCACCCGTGGAATTTACGAGTAATAGTCCCACATCCTGCGTTTTACATTTTAAAAAGAGATTACATATTTGAGTAAACTTTTCGCCAATCTAATACAAAGGCTATGGATATCTGGACAGATCTGTTCTCAAAACCAGAGAAAAAAATGGTTAAAATTAAAGTTAACAAGGCTCATTACGTTCCTTTGAAAAGTGGTGCAACCGACCAAACCGGAAGTGGGTCGCGTGTAACTATGATATCGCCGTCTGAAGCTAGTGTTCAAAGAGCTAGAGCGCGCATGCGTCGTGATAACATCATAGATACAGGCCCCCGGATTAAATCTATAAAACCTACCGTATTTAAAAATAAGACCACACGTACCAAAGGTATCGAAGGGAGTAACACCGTATTAAAGAAAAAACGTGGAAAACGTGAAAATAACACGCTCGGTATAAGTACCATATTTGATTAAAAGGGAAAAACAGATAAAACAAAAAAACAAATAAATAAAAATGGATAACATTATGGACAGTTCTAACGAGGTTGTGAACGAGCAGTTTATGATTTTTGAAACCCGTGATACAGATGTCAGCACGAAACAGTTGAAATACGTCAATTTTAGACCGATCAATTTATCAGATGGTAATCCATTAACCTTCGATATAACAAATAACGGAGATCACTACTTAGATTTGAGTAAAACAGTGTTATTCGTCAAGGCAAAAATAACCATGCCGGATGGGAGTCCATTGCCTATAGATCCAAACGACCCGGCGGCATCTGCACCCAAAGTTACTTGCGCTAATCTTTGGTTACATTCATTATTCTCGCAAGTGGATGTTCAAATGCAGCAAAAATCAATTTCAACATCGGGACCTTATTACCCGTACACAAGTTATATTCAAACAGTACTAAACACATCAGCGGCAGATATGCAAGGTTACTTATCATCCCAAATGTATTTTAAGGATGAAGCCAGTCTAGGTAACGACCATAACGGGTTTGACTCCAAAAATAATGGATTTCTGAGGAGAATGGCGCACACGATCGAGAGTTTGGAGGTTGAAATGGCGGGTCCATTGCACGCTGACATCTTTAAGATTGAAAAATATTTGTTGAATAACATTGATATTCAAGTCAAACTAACACCATCCCCGGCTGCCTTTAACCTAACGGCACATGATAACAACGTAGCTTATAAGGTTAAGATTACCGACGCATTTCTAAGAATTGCCAAAATTGAGCCGACACCCGGTGTATTGGAAGGTCACGCCCAAACGTTAAAGACGAATCTGGCTCAATATCCGTACATCGGCAGAGAAATGAAAAGTTTAAGTGTGGCCACCGGAAACCGCAATTTTCAAATCGATAATTTATTTCTAGGTAGGGTGCCTCAAACGATATACCTAGTCATGGTCACGGCTCGATCTCAAATGGGCGTGTACGATTTGAATCCTTTCAACTTTCAACATTTCAACTTAGATTATCTAGACGTGTTAGTCGATGGACTAAGCGTGACCAATCCCGTAACATTAGATTATAGAACAGGTGGTTTGCTGAACACGTATATAACGTGTTACAACAACTTATTTCCCCAGTTTAACGACCAAAAACGAAACGCGAGCATATCCAGAGACGAATTCGCCAACGGAACTACAATTTTAAGATTTGACGTCAATAACATCGGTAGTACGCAAGTTAATTCGATCGAGAGAAGGGGTAATTTATCCATCAATGGTCATTTTCAAAAACCTCTACAAGAAGCGATCAACATCCTGATATTGGCGGAGTTTCCCAAAGTTATTCAGATAGACGAGGCTAGGAACGTCATAACATAATGAACTCTCTCCAATTAAGGCATATATTAGAATCTACATCTTATTTAAAAACCGCCTACCGTAGGGTCTGCGCCAAAGACGAATTACCGCGGTTTTCTCCGAGTAAATTAGCCGTTTATATCGTCAATACGGCCAAGCACGATCACCCCGGATTACATTGGGTCTTACTTGTATTCAAGATTGACACGTTGGGTCAGAAAACATGTATGTATTTTGACAGTTTGGGTGGTCATCCTCGAAAATATGGTCTATTTGAATTCATACGAAATAATTCGGATACATTTATATACAATAACTTGAGACTTCAAGATGATGAAAGTACAATCTGTGGCCAATATACATTAGTTGTAATGGATCGTTATATTCGTAGAAATGAAAGCTTACTGGGTATATTGAATGACTATAATATCGAGGATACTTATTACAACGATCTAATCACCATAGATTATTTCAAGACTCACTTTTCTACCAAATCCGCAGTGACTTATGTAGAATGCCAAACCTGCGTTAAACCAAATATTCAGGCTTTAGAAAGTTAATTAGATATAATTGTTTATATTCTATGTATGTTATACTATTGTGTATCGAAATAAAATGGATTAGGTAAAAAATTATATTTGTTCTTTGGTACTAACTTATTAAAAATCATCAATGGCCCGATTGTTTAAATAAAAGACATCGCAAAACAACCCAGATAGCACGTCTTTGTTGGCCCAACGTCGGCAATTTTACGTCGGTACCTTGACGTTGGGCCGACGTTGGTTCAAGGTTGTCAAGGCACACTTCTCCGTTGGCCTGAAGTCGGCAATTCTACGGCTGTAAGCTCACGTTGTACCGACGTCGGTACAAGGTTGGCAAATGACACATCTTTTTCGGTCTGAAGTTAGCAATTTTAGGGCGGTACTTTGACGTTGGGCCGACGTTGGTACGAGGTCGTCAAGGTACACTTTTCTGTTGGCCTGAAGTCAGCAATTTTACGGCTGTACGCTGACGTTGTACCGATGTCGGTGCAAGGTTGGCAAGCAGCGTGTCTATTTCGGTCCGAAGTTAGCAATTTTAGGGCGGAACTATAACGTTGGGCCGACGTTATTTTCAGGTCGGCAAATCACACTTCTGTTAGCCCCAAATTATAGTAATTTTAGGGTGGTACACTAACGTTGGGCCAACGTTGGTACCACGTTGGTAATTGACACAATTTTAGGGTCGGTAGAACGTTGGGCCGACAATGATATCAGGTCCGAAGTTAGCAATTTTAGGGCGGAACTATAACGTTGGGCCGACGTTATTTTCAGGTCGGCAAATCACACTTCCCAGATAGCACAAAGATGTCGGGTCAACGTCGCTATTGGTGGCCATTGGTTGGCATAGTCGCAGTTGGCAAATTGTAGTTGGGCCAACGTTGGCCCGTCGTTGGCTGCCGCTAATACCAGGGAGCCAACAATCCCAGATAGCACAACTCTGATGGGCCAACGTTGGCCCAACAATTACATATCTGTTGGTTCAACGTTGGCTGAGATGGTTGGCCCATTGTTGTCCATTGGCCCAACGTTGGTCCACCGAAGTAAATTGTGTCAATAGTGGGCCAACAATGGTCCAACGTTGGTTCTTTAGACGCTGCAAATGTTGGACCAACGTTGGCCCAACGTCGTTGTGCTATCTGGGTAGCACTAAAGTACTGTTGGGCCAACGTTGGGCCACCCACCTATCTGTTCCCTCTGCAAGGCCAACGTTGGGCCAACATTGCCATTAGCACTAAAGCACTGTCGAGCCAACATTGGACCAACGTTGGGCCAACATAATTTTTTGCCAACATTGGACCAACGTTGGGCCAACATAATTGTTTGCCACTGTTGGACCAACGTTGGCCCGCTGGACAAAATGACGTTGGGTCAACCGCTCAAGCCGACGTTGGGCCAACAGATGCGTAGTTGTTGGCCCGAAGTTGGCCCACTGGCGGTGTGCTATCTGTGCCAACATTGGACCAACGTTGGGCCAATATAATTTTTTGCCACTGTTGGACCAACGTTGGCCCGCTGGACAAAATGACGTTGGGTCAACCGCTCAAGCCGACGTTGGGCCAACAGATGCGTAGTTGTTGGCCCAACGTTGGCCCATTGGCGATGTGCTATCTGGGACCTATCGATCAGTGCAAAATTGCAGTTGGCAAATTGTAGTTGGGCCAACGTTGGCCCGTTGTTGGCTGCCGCTAATACCAGGAAG